AATATATTTGGCTAGATACTTGTATGTTTTGATGAGTTTTTAAGGGTGATAATAAGCCGAGTTTCCATATGTTGGCTTTGACCAAATATAAGCTTCTTGTAATAATATACATACAAGTAATACTTTTGTGCAATGACTTAGACCAATTAGACGCATCTATTTTTTCTCTAACAAGCAAACCGATATTTTTATGATTTAGGACAATAATGTTCGAAAGATATTACGTGCACACTAATAAGGTCTAAATCTAGCTAGTAGACGGTAAAAGATGTAGTAGCCATTTATATATGGCAGCAATAATTAATCTTTTTATCCCTCATTACGCTCCACATACTCATTTTGAAGAGTAAGGATTCAACTTATTCTAAGACATTTCACGCAAATTACTTGTATAGGTTTTAAAAGTCCTACCCAAGTATTATTTTTATAAATAATTTTTGTATCGTGTTTTTTATTTTTATAAATGATCTCCTATGATCACTTATAATTTAAATATAAGTAAATGGCCTTATAAAGATTTCTTATATTTTATTTACAAACCTCCTTTGCCATTTTTTTCTTAAAAAAGTTGAATAACTAAAATAACACTTGTAACGGATTACAAAACCAAACCTCACTCCTGCTCCACTGTCTTTCAAATTTGATTAGCGTTGTCTGGTACGATAATAAAAGAGAATACACATGAAACTACATTTTTAACAGAGAAATAAAGGTTTTTCAAGATAAATAGTTATGGACGATATGCACAGATAGCCAGTAATAACACATGTATTTACTTTTAAGCCACTGTTTTAAATATATTTAGTCTTTAGCCACTACTTTAATAAACTTTTACCCGTCCAGACGAAAATACCCTTTTGCTATATAGGATTTCGCTGATACATATGCTCCTTATTTACGATCAGCAGCAGCTCAAACTTACGTGCAAACTTACGTACAGAGAATTGTTGTGATCGTCTAAAATTGCAGAAGCTTCTCTTCCCATTTCAAACTTCCAGTCTAAGTTCAGAATTCAACTTTCTCGTCCAAAATTCACCATAAAATTACAGTAAGTTCTAAAGTTTCAGATATCTCTATATGCTTTTGTGTGTTTGTGTGAATTTTTATTTCGTTATTGAAGAATAAGATGCTAGGAATTTGTTTTTTTTTATTTTCTGTATTGATAACGTTAAGGACATCGCGTCCTTAACTCTGTGATTGTTCTGTAAATATTGAGAACATAATGTTAAAGATTTGGTGTCCTTAACATGACTGTTATTCTAAAAAATATTAAGGACAAAGTGTTCTGTGTTTTGCAACTTGTATTAATAAAGTTAAGGACACGATGTCCTTAACTTCATGACTGTTGTTCTAAATATTAAGGACATAGTATCATGTATTTGCAAATTATATTAATAAAGTTAAGGACACAATGTCCTTAACTTCATGACTGTTGTTCTAAATATTAAGGACACCATGTCCTTAACATTTTCACTGCACACATCAAAGTTAAGGATAACTTGTCCTTAACATTTACACTGTACACATCAAAGTTAAGGACAACTTGTCCTTAAAATTTTTACTGCACACATCAAAGTTAAGGACAACAACTTTTACAATACACACATCAAAGTTAAGGACACGATGTCCTTAACTTTTACAATGCACGCATCCAAGTTAAGGATACCATGTCCTTAATATTTTGACTGCACACATCAAAGTTAAGGACATAATGTCCTATTTTTATAACTTGCACTGATAAAGTTTAGGACATGATGTCCTTAATTTCATGACTACTGTGTAAAAATTAAGGACATAGTGTCCTATTTTTGCAACTTGTACTAATAAAGTTTAGGACATGATGTCCTTAACTTTATGACTACCGTGTAAATATTAAGGACATAGTGTCATATATTTGCAACTTGTATTGATAAAGTTTAGGACATGATATCCTTAACTTCATAACTGTTGTTCTAAATATTAAGGACATAGTGTCCTGCGTTTTGCAACTTGTATTGATAAAGTTTAGGACATCTTGTCCTTAACTTCACGATCGCTGTATAAATATGTCCTGAATTTCTCATTTTCTTGACTTGCAGGATGGATACAATATGTATTATAGTTACTTTTAATGGTAGATGGACTGTAGACTATAAGTATCTTGATCATCAAACAAAGCTTGTTCTAGTACCTGAGGCAATTCGATTTGAAGATTTCATTAACAAGATCTTTGAAGTTATTGAATTGGATAGAGACAAGTTTGAAGCAATTATATGGTTTGATATCAATCTGGGAACAAGCAAGGAAATGCTTGTATCCAAAGATTTAGATCTTCACACATGTATAGAGTTACTAAAAAGTCATTCACTCTTCAAGGGCTATCGTTTCATTGTTGATGTTTCGGAAAGAGTTTTTGGTTCTTCAAGCACCTTTGAACATGTCAATACAAAAACTCAACAAGACAATCAAGACAAATGCCAACGGATAATGGAAATAGATGTGGTTAAAGCTCAACCAATAACTGAAGAGGTGCTTCAAACATTTGATTCTATTCAAGTGGAAGGACAAAGCCTTATAGAGATTGACAACGAACAAGCTTTGGGTATTCAAGTCTTAGAGAGTGTACCGATAATAGAAGAAGTTGCTAAAAAAATCTTTACTCAACTAACTAGACGAAGCTCAAATTCGAAACAAAAAGAATCCCCAACTACGATATTAAGAGAAAATGCTTCGTTGGATGAAATAAAAGTGGGATCAATATTTGACAAAAAGAAAAGTATAATTAACTGTTTTTCCAATATAGCAATTAAAGGACATTTTGAATTCAAGGTTGTTAGATCAAGCTCAACAAGATATTCGTTTAAATGCAATGATGATAGGTGTGGGTGGTGTGTGCGTGCTTTCAGAATTAAAGATTCAACACTATTCAAGATAGTAAAGATTGAGAAAAATCATGACTGCTCAGTTAACACTATGAAAGCTGATCAAAGGCATGCAACTTCAAAGTTGATTAGTGGTTACATTATCGACAATCTTCGAGACTCAAGATTTGAAGTTACACCAGCCTTTGTCATGGCAGAAATGCAAAAATTGCATGGACTAGACATTGGTTATCACAAGGCATGGCGTGCTATTTAATGTGCTTCAGCTTTAATAAGAGGAACTTCTGAAGAGAATTATGAATTATTGTCTTCATACTCATATATGATGAAAAGTAAAAATCCGGGAACATACACTAACATAAAGATAGAGGACAACAACAGGTAAACAATCAAAAAGAGTTTATGAGTCTGTTTTATAAACTTTAGGACATGGTGTCCTTAACTTGGATGTGTGCAATGAAAATGTTAAGGATATGGTGTCCTTAACTTTGATGTGTGCAGTGAAAAAGCTAAGGACATGGTGTCCTTAACTTGGATGTGTGCAGTGAAAATGTTAAGGACATGGTGTCCTTAACTTTGATGTGTGCAGTGAAAATGTTAAGGACATGGTGTCCTTAACTTTGATGTGTGCAGTGAAAAGGTTAAGGACAAGTTGTCCTTAACTTTGATGTGTGCAGTGAAAATATAAAGGACATGGTGTCCTAAACTTGGATGTGTGTATTGAAAAACTTAAGGACACGGTGTCCTTAACTTTGATGTGTGCATTATAAAAGTTAAGGACATGGTGCCCTTAACTTTGATGTGTGCAGTGAAAAAGTTAAGGACATTGTGTCCTTAACTTTGATGTGTGCAGTGAAAAAGTTAACGACATGATATCCTTAACTTGGATGTGTGTAGTGAAAAACTTAAGGACACGGTATACTTAACTTTGATGTGTGCATTATAAAAGTTAAGGACATGGTGTCCTTAACTTTGATGTGTGCAGTGAAAAAGTTAAGGACATTGTGCCCTTAACTTTGATGTGTGCAGTGAAAATGTTAAGGATATGGTATCCTTAACTTTGATGTGTGCAGTGAAAAAGTTAATGACATAGTATCCTTTACTTTGATGTGTGCAGTGAAAATGTTAAGGACATGGTATCCTTAACTTTGATGTGTGCAGTGAAAATATTAAGGATATGATGTCCTTAACTTTCATGTGTGCAGTGAAAATGATAAGGACATGGTGTCCTTACCTTTGATGTGTGCATTCTAAAAGTTAAGGACAAGTTGTCCTTAACTTTGATGTGTGCACTGAAAATGTGAAGGACATTGTGTCCTTAACTTTGATATATGCAGTGAAAATATTAAGGGCATGGTGTCCTTAACTTTGATGTGTGCATTGTAAAAGTTAAGGACAAGTTGTCCTTAACTTTGATGTGTGCAGTGAAAATATTAAGGACAAGATGTCCTTAACTTTGATGTGTGCAGTGTAAATATTAAGGATTTGGTGTCTTGTATTTTTAACCTTCTGTTAAACTGTATTTTCAGGTTTCTTTATATGTTTTATGCATATGGATCATCAATAGCTGGTTGGAATCATTGTAGACCAGTGATTGTTGTTGATGCAACTTTTTTGAAGTCAAAATATTATGGTGTTTTAATGATTTCAGTTTCAAATGATGCAAATAACCAAATATTCCCACTAGCCTTTAAAATTGCAGAATCTGAAAATAACAATTCCTATGAGTGGTACTTTAGTGAGCTTTGCAATGCAATTGGGAGCCGTGACAATTTAATTTTTTTATCGGACAGGCATCAATCTATTGCACATGGCATTGCAAAGGTATATCCTGAAAGCCACCATGGGATTTGTATCTATCATTTGGAGCAGAACCTAAAGCGAAGGAAAGTGAAAAGTGAGATCATAAAACTTTTTCAAAGTGCTGCAAGAGTATACAGGCGCAAATAATATGATCTATACATATCGGATTTAGCAAAAATTGATAAGAAGACTTTTGACTACTTGATGGAAGAACCACCAGAAAGGTGGGCACGTTCTTATAGTCCGCGACGAAGATATGACATGCTCACAACAAACATAGTTGAGTCAATAAATTATGTGCTATTAGAAGCAAGGGAGTTGCCTATATTAAGAATGATGGATTTCATCCAAGTGAATCTACAACATTGGTTCTATGAAAGAAGAAATGAAGCAGAAGAAACTTTTTATGACGTTTCTTGTTGGGTAGAAGAGGAATTGAAGAAAAAGATAGATTTAGCTTTTACTTTAAATGTAAGTATTATCTTCTTACTTTAGCTTATTATTTTAATGTAAATTTAACATAATGTACTAACTTATAGTTTTTCAACTTTGAAGGTCTTCTCTGTTGATTCATGGCGTTTTAGAGTTGAGGAAGAAGGAATTACTTTCTTGGTGGACTTAAACAAAAGAACATGTGATTGTTTTCAGTTTCAATTTGATGAATTATCATGTATACATGCAATTGCAGCTATGGAGAAGAGAAACATCAAGAAGTCAAATTTCTGCTCGGACTGGTACTTAAAGGAATCTTGGCTGAAAATATATGAAAGACAAATATATCCTGTAGGACATACGAATTCTTGGATTGTACCAGAGAGTGTTAAGTCACAAATTATTAAACCTCCAGATTTCAAAGTCCCGCCAGGTAGAAGGCAGAAGAAAAGGCATATTCCAGCTACCGAATCATCAAAAATAACATTCAAATGTGGTCGTTGCAGAAGAATTGATCATAATAGAATATTTTGTATATATTCTCCGGCAGTCCATCCATTTTCAAGGAAGCATAGAGAATAATAGATATATCCACTTATGTTTATCTACTCTTTTAAGTTTTTGCTATAAATTGGATTCATTTAGATTGTTTTTATTTGAGCAAGTAACATTAGGAGATGGTTATATAAAAGATGTCCTGAATTTTCAAAGTTTCTTTGCGCTTACGTGCTCTTTGTTTCTTTTTCTTTTTCTGGGAGTTCAATTTACCTTTGTCGGACCAATTATTATTTATGGGATTTTATTCTTTCCATAAGTAAACAAGAAAGTCCTTTTCTTTATATAATTTGACGCCTGCAGCTTGCTACATCTTTATTTTTAAAATCAGATCGGTACAAGTAAAATTTAAGGACATAATCTTTTAAAAGTCCTAAAAATTTCAAGTATGAATCTAATATTAAGGACATAAATTTCTAAAATGTCCTTAACTTCTGGAAATCTCAGGTTATTATCTAAATTTTCAGAAGTTCAGGACATTTCAGAAAAATATGTCCTGAATATTATTTTCATCCTTCAATAAATCAGGACATTTATGAGCATAATGTCATGAAGTTCTACAACAATCAATGCATCTTTTGCTATATCTCTATAGATTTAATAAAAAACTGGCAATTTAAAATGGATAAATCAGTAGTTATAAAACTTAACATCTGCAGCTTGCTAAACACAACTTGCTACATCTTATTTTTAAAATGAGATTGGTACAAGTAGACTTCAGGATATAATTTTTTGAAACGTCCTAAACATTTGAAGTATGAATCTAATATATAGGACATAAATTTCTAAAATGCCCTTAACTAGCTGCTTATAAGTTACGGACATTTGGTCCTTAACATAGAGTTACAAGCTTACAAAATAAGGACAAGTGTTCCTTAACTTAGAGTTACAAGAACAGAAATTAAGGACATGTAGTCCTGAACTTAGAGTTACATGTTAAAAATTTAAGGACAGGTAGTCCTAAACTTCAAGTTACAAGATCACAAATTAAGGACACTTGGTCTTTAACTTAGAGTTACAAGCACAGAAATTAAGGACAGGTAGTCCTGAACTTAGAGTTACAAGTTAAAAAGTTAAGGATATGTTGTCCTGAACTTAGAGTTACAAGTTAAAAAGTTAAGGACAAGTAGTCCAAAACTTCAAGTTACAAGCACAAAAATTATGGACAGGTAGTCTTGAACTTAGAGTTCCAAGTTAAAAAAATAAGGACATGTAGTCCTCAACTTAGAGTTACAAGTTAAAAAGTTAAGGACATGTAGTCCTGAACTTAGAGCTACAAGTTAAAAAGTTAAGGACATGTAGTCCTGAACTTAGAGTTACAAGTTAAAAAGTTAAGGACATGTAGTCTTGAACTTAGAGTTACAAGTTAAAAAGTTAAGGACATGTAGTCCTGAACTTAGAGTTACAAGTTAAAAAGTTAAGGACATGTAGTCCTAAACTTTAAGTTACAAGCTCACAAATTAAGGACACTTGATCCTTAACTTAGAGTTACAATCATAGAAATTAAGGACATGTAGTCTTGAACTTAGAGTTAGAAGTTAAAAAGTTAAGGACATGTAGTCCTAAACTTTAAGTTACAAGCTCACAAATTAAGGACACTTGGTCCTTAACTTAGAGTTACAATCAAAGAAATTAAGGACATGTAGTTCTGAACTTTAAAAAGTTAAGGACATGTAGTCCTAAACTTCAAGTTACAAGCTAACAAATTAAGGACACTTGGTCCTTAACTTAGAGTTACAAGCACAGAAATTAAGGACATGTAGTCTTGTACTTAGAGTTACAAGTTAAAAAGTTAAGGACATGTAGTCCTGAACTTAGAGTTACAAGTTAAAAAGTTAAGGACAGGTAGTCCTAAACTTCAAGTTACAAGCTCACAAATTAAGGACACTTGGTCTTTAACTTAGAGTTACAAGCACAGAAATTAAGGACATGTAGTCCTGAACTTAGAGTTACAAGTTAAAAAGTTAAGGACATGTAGTCCTGAACTTAGAGTTACAAGTTAAAAAGTTAAGGACAGGTAGTCCTAAACTTCAAGTTACAAGCTCACAAATTAAGGACACTTGGTCTTTAACTTAGAGTTACAAGCACAGAAATTAAGGACATGTAGTCCTGAACTTAGAGTTCCAAGTTCAAAAAATAAGGACATGTAGTCCTGAACTTAGAGTTACAAGTTAAAAAGTTAAGGACATGTAGTCCTGAACTTAGAGTTACAAGTTAAAAAGTTAAGGACAGGTAGTCCTAAACTTCAAGTTACAAGCTCACAAATTAAGGACACTTGGTCTTTAACTTAGAGTTACAAGCACAGAAATTAAGGACAGGTAGTCCTGAACTTAGAGTTCCAAGTTCAAAAAATAAGGACATGTAGTCCTGAACTTAGAGTTACAAGTTAAAAAGTTAAGGACATGTAGTCCTAAACTTAGAGTTCCAAGTTAAAAAAATAAGGACACTTGGTCATTAACTTAGAGTTACAAGCATAGAAATTAAGGACACGTAGTCCTTAATTTAGAGTTCCAAGTTCAAAAATTAAGGACATGTAGTCCTGAACTTAGAGTTACAAGTTAAAAAGTTAAGGACATGTAGTCCTGAACTTAGAGTTACAAGTTCAAAAGTTAAGGATAGGAAGTCCTAAACTGAGAGTTACAAGCTCAAAAATTAAGGACATGGTGTCCTTAACTTAGAGTTACAAGCACATAAATTAAGGATATTACCTTGATATCATTTTGAATCCTTTTTTCTGATAAAGCTATTTTTTGATGTATTCTACTACATTCTACCTCCATATCCTTTTTGAACTTCTCTTATAATCTCTGAATCAAAAATCATAAAAACAAAAAAGTCTCTTAAGCAAAAATAAGCAAATAAAAAACTAATTGTATTCAAAGACAGAAAACCTACATTAACAATTTCCTTAAGCAAGACTTCATCAAATTGTATTGAAGGCATTGAACTTTGATCTTGAGACAATGGCACATGCACACTAGCGGGCTCCGCATCTACTCCGGAAGAAAGAAATAGTACCATCTCGAGTAACTGATACAACTATTATATAAGAAAAAAAAACGTAAGTATTCAGAACTAAAACACATAAACAAAAAAATAGCTAGTAATCCTGTTAACTTACTTTTTCATTATGGAAGTACTTTTTACATAGGGTGTCATAACGTAGAGATTTCATATCTGAATAACATAGCATCCTAGGGAACCCACATTCTCTGAAGTTCACAAATTATTTTTTCTGAAAAATTGGGAATACTTCCATAATCCAAACACAGAAGGCGAAAGGGAAGCCAAGTATAGTATAATTGTCCTTCTCTTTATCTTTCTCTTTTTCGTTCTCATTTTCGTTGTTTGAAGTATTTTGTTTGGGCTTCAAGCAACTCTTCAATGATTTTAGTAACTTTTCATAACAAAGAGAGCCCCAATTGAAAGAAGAGCAGCGTTCATCGACATCTACGATTTTCATTACCCGCTCAGACATATTCCGATTCTTGTGCTTCCCTATCAACACAGATTCAACAAAATAAATTGTTGCCAACTTCATAGCATCGTCGTGGCTGCCTACAAATGATGCATTGTACCATATGGGTGACTACTAATAAAATGCCACAAATCGCCTAACTTGATTCTATCCTTTCCAGGAAAGTAGACTTTCGAAAGCCTATTCTCTCTTTCACGTAAAACTTTGAAGTCCACTGAAGAAGAACATTTCAATCCAGTAATTATCTGGAACGCTTCACGTATAAACTTCACTTCATGATCAAAAACCTTGAATGTCATTGAATGCGAGTCATTGCTTATAATTTCTGAAAGCAACACACAATGAATAAGTCTACCACAGAACTTTACACCTTGTAATCGGAAAAAGTTTTCGAAAACACCATCCCTCAACTTCTTCCATTACGTGTTCGACAAGAAACTTTTTATTGTTTCCTTATACTGAAAATCTCCTTTCCAATAGCTCATCGAATTACGCCAATCATCAAACTCGAAAACACGATCTCCTTCCATTAGCACACTACAAAGAAGGAAATAGAACGTAAACATTAGGACTATTTTTCTGAAATGTCCTTAAAATTTAAACTACAAAACTAAAATCCAGGACCTAAGTAGATGCATCTTTAATAGAAGAACAGTAAACTAAAATTAGCTTACAAATTCTTAGGACTATTTTTCTGAAATGTCCTTAATA